TTTCACTACCTGTTCTTTCACTGTTGTTTTCCTTCTGATGTAACTATGAAGTAGCTTTGGTTCGGTCTTGGCTTTGTTTGCTATATCATTTTCATAGCTTTTTTCTGCTTCTCTTCTCACCCTGACATACTCATTCCTGGTACTTTGGCATCTCTCTCTGCTTTCTGGTGTTCTGTTACTCCGGAAGTTCCTCCACGCCCTTTTGTTCAGTTTCTTTCCTTCCATACATGCCCTATTATACCATGGACTCCTCTTTTGCTTCTCGGATTTTTCCTTTTGGGCCGGGATGTAGCTGCTTACTGCCTCCTGACACTTTTGGGTGACATAGTCCATCATATCTTGTACAGACTTAGCTCTGAGGTCTGTGTCCCAAGCTTCCCTTAGGAAGCTTCTCATCTCTTCATAATTTTCTCTTTCGGTATGCCAGCCTTTTGTTTCCTAGTTCCTTTTTTTTTGGGGGGGGGATAATTCCTAGCTCTACCAGGTACTCAAAGTTCAATACACTGTGATCACTCATTCCCATGGGTGCTTCCATCTTGACTTCCCTTATATCCCACTCATTTAGGGTAAATATCAGATCAAGCATTGCTGGGTGTTGCCTCCCGTCAGTGTTGCCTGTCAGTGTTGCCTCCCGTCAGTGTTGCCTCCCGTCAGTGTTGCCTCCCGTCAGTGTTGCCTCCCGTCAGTGTTGCCTCCCGTCAGCCTGCAGTGTTGCCCGTCAGTGTTGCCTCCCGTCAGTGTTGCCTCCCGTCAGTGTTGCCTCCCGTCAGTGTTGCCTCCCGTCAGTGTTGCCTGACAGTGTTGCCTGACAGTGTTGCCACCCTTCAGTGTTGCCTGACAGTGTTGCCTGACAGTGTTGCCCGCCAGTGTTGCCTGACAGTGTTGCCCGTCAGTGTTGCCTGGCAGTGTTGCCTGACAGTGTTGCCTGACAGTGTTGCCTCCCGTCAGTGTTGCCTCCCGTCAGTGTTGCCTCCCGTCAGTGTTGCCTCCCGTCAGTGTTGCCTGCCCGTCAGTGTTGCCTCCCGTCAGTGTTGCCCGTCAGTGTTTGCCTGACAGTGTTGCCCCGTCAGTGTTGCCTCCCGTCAGTGTTGCCTCCCGTCAGTGTTGCCTGGCAGTGTTGCCTGTCAGTGTTGCCTCCCGTCAGTGTTGCCTCCCGTCAGTGTTGCCTCCCGTCAGTGTTGCCCCGTCAGTGTTGCCAGTGTTGCCCGTCAGTGTTGCCTCCCGACAGTGTTGCCTCTCGTCAGTGTTGCCTCTGTCAGTGTTGCCTCCCGTCAGTGTTGCCTCCCCAGTGTTGCCTTCTGTCAGTGTTGCCTCCCCAGTGTTGCCTTCTGTCAGTGTTGCCTGGCAGTGTTGCCTGACAGTGTTGCCTCTCGTCAGTGTTGCCTCCCGTCAGTGTTGCCTCCCGTTAGTGTTGCCTCCCGTCAGTGTTGCCTCCCGTCAGTGTTGCCTCCCGTTAGTGTTGCCTCCCGTCAGTGTTGCCTCCCGTTAGTGTTGCCTCCCGTCAGTGTTGCCTCCCGTCAGTGTTGCCTCCCGTCAGTGTTGCCTCCCGTTAGTGTTGCCTCCCGTTAGTGTTGCCTTCCGTCAGTGTTGCCTCTCGTCAGTGTTGCCTCCCGTTAGTGTTGCCTCCCGTTAGTGTTGCCTCCCGTCAGTGTTGCCTCTCGTCAGTGTTGACTCCCGTTAGTATTGCCTCTCGTCAGTGTTGCCTCCCGTTAGTGTTGCCTCCCGTTAGTGTTGCCTCCCGTCAGTGTTGCCTCTCGTCAGTGTTGCCTCCCGTTAGTGTTGCCTCCCGTTAGTGTTGCCTCCCGTCAGTGTTGCCTCTCGTCAGTGTTGACTCCCGTTAGTATTGCCTCTCGTCAGTGTTGCCTCCCGTTAGTGTTGCCTTCCGTCAGTGTTGCCTCCCGTCAGTGTTGCCTCCATTCAATGTTGCCTCCCGTCAGTGTTGCCTCCGGTCAGTGTTGCCTCCCGTCAGTGTTACCTCCCGTTAGTGTTGCCTCCCGTTAGTGTTGCCTCCCGTTAGTGTTGCCTCTCGTCAGTGTTACCTCCCGTCAGTGTTGCCTCCCGTTAGTGTTGCCTCCCGTTAGTGTTGCCTCTCGTCAGTGTTGCCTCCCGTCAGTGTTGCCTTCCGTTAGTGTTGCCTCTCGTCAGTGTTGCCTCCCGTTAGTGTTGCCTCCCGTTAGTGTTGCCTCTCGTCAGTGTTGCCTCCCGTTAGTGTTGCCTCCCGTCAGTGTTGCCTCCCGTCAGTGTTGCCTCCCGTCAGTGTTGCCTCCCGTCAGTGTTGCCTCCCGTTAGTGTTGCCTCCCGTCAGTGTTGCCTCCCGTCAGTGTTGCCTCCCGTCAGTGTTGCCTCCCGTCAGTGTTGCCACCCGTCAGTGTTGCCACCCGTCAGTGTTGCCTCCCGTCAGTGTTGCCTCCCGTCAGTGTTGCCACCCGTCAGTGTTGCCTCCCGTCAGTGTTGCCTCTCGTCAGTGTTGCCTCCCGTCAGTGTTGCCTTCCGTCAGTGATGCCTCCCGTCAGTGTTGCCTTCCGTCAGTGACTCCTCCCGTCAGTGTTGCCACCCGTCAGTGTTGCCACCCGTCAGTGTTGCCTCCCGTTAGTGTTGCCTCCCGTCAGTGTTGCCTCCCGTCAGTGTTGCCTCCCGTCAGTGTTGCCTCCCGTCAGTGTTGCCACCCGTCAGTGACTCCTTCCGTCAGTGTTGCCTCCCGTCAGTGTTGCCACCCGTCAGTGTTGCCACCCGTCAGTGTTGCCTCCCGTCAGTGTTGCCACCCGTCAGTGTTGCCTCCCGTCAGTGTTGCCTCCCGTCAGTGTTACCTCCCGTCAGTGTTGCCTCCCGTCAGTGTTGCCTTCCGTCAGTGACTCCTCCCGTCAGTGTTGCCTCCCGTCAGTGTTGCCTCCCGTCAGTGTTGCCACCCGTCAGTGTTGCCTCCCGTCAGTGTTGCCACCCGTCAGTGTTGCCTCCCGTCAGTGTTGCCTCCCGTCAGTGTTGCCTCCCGTCAGTGTTGCCTCCCGTCAGTGTTGCCTCCCGTCAGTGTTGCCTCCCGTCAGTGTTGCCTCCCGTCAGTGTTGCCTCCCGTCAGTGTTGCCTCCCGTCAGTGTTGCCTCTCGTCAGTGTTGCCTCCCGTCAGTGTTGCCTTCCGTCAGTGACTCCTCCCGTTAGTGTTGCCACCTGTCAGTGTTGCCTTCCGTCAGTGTTGCCTTCCGTCAGTGTTGCCTCTCGTCAGTGTTGCCTCTCGTCAGTGTTGCCTCCCGTCAGTGTTGCCTCCCGTCAGTGTTGCCTCCCGTCAGTGTTGCCTCCCGTCAGTGTTGCCTCCCGTCAGTGTTACCTCCCGTTAGTGATACCTCCCGTCAGTGTTACCTCCCGTCAGTGTTGCCTCCCGTCAGTGTTGCCTCCCGTCAGTGTTGCCTCCCGTCAGTGTTACCTCCCGTCAGTGTTACCTCCCGTCAGTGTTGCCACCCGTCAGTGACTCCTTCCGTCAGTGTTGCCTCGCGTCAGTGTTGCCTCTCGTCAGTGTTGCCTCCCGTCAGTGTTGCCACCCGTCAGTGACTCCTTCCGTCAGTGTTGCCTCCCGTCAGTGTTGCCTCTCGTCAGTGTTACCACCCGTCAGTGTTGCCACCCGTCAGTGACTCCTTCCGTCAGTGACTCCTTCCGTCAGTGTTGCCTCCCGAATCAAAATAACAAAAATTATCCTCCCCATATCTCCTCTTCGTGACTGGTTTAAAGTCCAAACTACATTTATCAAGTCAATTTCTCTCATGTAAACTCAAAAAAGCATTAGCAAGTGCAGAGCCTAATCGAGAACCCATTGCTACTCTATCAATCTGTTTGTTTTTATGTTTAATAATAATTATTATTGAGTCTTCAACTGCCATTTCTAACTCTAACAACCATCTAAATATCTTATTACAATTTCATTACACACAGAAATCACACTAACGTGATGTCAAATGAACAAATCCACTGAACAAATCCACTGAACAATTCCACACTGAACAAATCCACTGAACAAATCCACTACCGTCATTTGACATGACGGTAGTGTGATTTCTGTGTGTAATGATGTAAGGGCGAAGAGGGAGAACAGCCTATTGACATAGCTCGAGTGCAGGGGGGAGTTGTGTAAAACCCTGGTTTGTGTCTCGGAGAGGCTGCAGGATCCAGTAAGTTCAGTAGAACTTCGGTTTCAACTCTTTTTAACCCTGTCGTAGCTCAGTCGATTAAGGCAGTGTCTTGGATGCTCCCGGACGCAGGTTCGAATCCTCGTCACAGCCCTTGTGGATTTGATCTTACTACAATATCCTGACACTAAATTATTGTCAGGAAATAACTGATTTACACAAATGTTAAAAGTTTCCAACAGAGGAATATTAGTGAAGCGTATTCTACATTAAAAGTATCCATTATAGCTTGGAATTCAAAATTCAATGAAGAAAGTTCCTTTACCAAATTCTGAGAGTTTTTCACAGCAAAGTCATTACAGGTTAGTGGTTCTAATAATGGAACTAGAAACTTTACCAGTTTGTAATTAAAGTACCATTGATTTTGTCAGCGATTAGTATTTTTTATTACAAACTGGCAAAGTTACTAGTTCTATTATTAGAACCACTAACCTGAAATGAATATAATTTGAGAACCTCTCAGGATTTTGTAATGGAACTTTCCTGTTTGAATTTTGAGTTCCCTGTTTTGATTTTGATTTTCCTGTTTGAATTTGGCTAGTTTTAATGTAGAATCACTCTTCACTAATATTCCTCTGTTGGAATCTATTGACATTTGTGTAAATCAATTATTTGCTGACAATAGTTTAGTGTCAGGATTTTGTAGTAAGATATTTAGATGGTTGTTAGAATTGGCAGTTAAAGACTCTATAATAATTATTATTAAACATAAAAGCAAATTGATGGAGTAGCAATGGTTTTGAAGATGGCATGTGATGATTGATAAAGATTAAGCCACCCAAGAGGTGGCACGGGCATGAATAGCCCGTAAGTGGCATGTGGGGTGAGGAGGGTATATATAGAGATGCGGGCGGTGTGGGGCGGCATTTACCTGCTGAGCATGTCGACCACCGGTGCCCCGGGCCTGACTCTCCTGCTGCTTCTTCGTCTGCTGATCCAAGGTGAGGAGGGCGGCGGGGGGCTGATGTGGCACGTTCCTTTCTTCGCTCGCCTAGTTGTTTGAGCTTTAGCTCTCGGATCCCACATCTCAATAGACTAGTTCCTGCGACCTATGGGGATTACTATACTTGAAGGTGTTAATGGCTCTCACACTTATAGCAAGACACATTATATCCCGTTGGTTCTGTTTGTTTATCTTGGTGAAAATGTTGCGTATGTTGATGACGTCTCCCAAGAGACATCTTCCTTGCTGTGAGTTGTGGCTTTAGTATTGGGGACTTTAGTTCAGCTCAGGGGCTGGTCTTCCAGGTTACTCCATGGTATCTGACCAGTGTATTATTGGTATCTTACCAGTGTATCGATGGCATCTGACCAGTGTATTCATGGTATCTGACTAGTGTAACAATGGTATCTTACCATGGTATCTGACTAGTGTAACAATGGTATCTGACTAGTGTATTCACGGTATCTAACCAGTGTATCCATGGTATCTGACTAGTGTATTCATGGTATCTGACTAGTGTATCAATGGTATCTTACCATGGTATCTGACCAGTGTATCAATGGTATCTGACTAGTGTATTCATGGTATCTGACTAGTGTATCAATGGTATCTGACTAGTGTATTCATGGTATCTGACTAGTGTATCAATGGTATCTTACCATGGTATCTGACTAGTGTATTCATGGTATCTGACCAGTGTATCAATGGTATCTGACCAGTGTATCCATGGTATCTGACTAGTGTATTCATGGTATCCGACTAGTGATTGGGAGCCGGTCGGCCGAGTGGACAGCACGCTGGACTTGTGATCCTGTGGTCCTGGGTTCGATCCCAGGCGCCGGCGAGAAACAATGGGCAGAATTTCTTTCACCCTATGCCCCTGTTACCTAGCAGTAAAATAGGTACCTGGGTGTTAGTCAACTGTCACGGGCTGCTTCCTGGGGGTGGAGGCCTGGTCGAGGACCGGGCCGCGGGGACACTAAAGCCCCGAAATCATCTCAAGATAACCTCAAGATGGTATCTGCCCATTATATCCATAATAACTGACCAGTGCATTAATAGTATCTGACGAGTATATGGCAACTGATCTGTGTATCCATGGTATCTCACCAGTCTATCCTGGTACCTGACCTGTGTATCCATGGTATCTGACCAGTCTATCCTGGTACCAGACCATTGTATCCATGGTATCTCACCAGTCTATCCTGGTACCAGACCACTGTATCCATGGTATCTCACCAGTCTATCCTGGTACCTGACCTGTGTATCCATGGTATCTCACCAGTCTATCCTGGTACCAGACCATTGTATCCATGGTATCTCACCAGTCTATCCTGGTACCAGACCATTGTATCCATGGTATCTCACCAGTCTATCCTGGTACCTGACCATTGTATCCATGGTACCTGACCAGTCTATCCTGGTACCAGACCATTGTATCCATGGTATCTCACCAGTCTATCCTGGTACCTGACCATTGTATCCATGGTATCTGACCAGTCTATCCTGGTACCAGACCATTGTATCCATGGTATCTCACCAGTCTATCCTGGTACCAGATCATTGTATCCATGGTATCTCACCAGTCTATCCTGGTACCAGACCATTGTATCCATGGTATCTCACCAGTCTATCCTGATACCAGACCATTGTATCCATGGTATCTCACCAGTCTATCCTGGTACCTGACCATTGTATCCATGGTATCTCACCAGTCTATCCTGGTACCAGACCATTGTATCCATGGTATCTGACCAGTCTATCCTGGTACCAGACCATTGTATCCATGGTATCTCACCAGTCTATCCTGGTACCAGACCATTGTATCCATGGTATCTCACCAGTCTATCCTGGTACCAGACCATTGTATCCATGGTATCTCACCAGTCTATCCTGGTACCAGACCATTGTATCCATGGTATCTCACCAGTCTATCCTGGTACCTGACCATTGTATCCATGGTATCTGACCAGTCTATCCTGGTACCAGACCATTGTATCCATGGTATCTCACCAGTCTATCCTGGTACCTGACCATTGTATCCATGGTATCTCACCAGTCTATCCTGGTACCAGACCATTGTATCCATGGTATCTCACCAGTCTATCCTGGTGCCAGACCATTGTATCCATGGTATCTCACCAGTCTATCCTGATACCAGACCATTGTATCCATGGTATCTCACCAGTCTATCCTGGTACCTGACCATTGTATCCATGGTATCTCACCAGTCTATCCTGGTACCAGACCATTGTATCCATGGTATCTGACCAGTCTATCCTGGTACCAGACCATTGTATCCATGGTATCTCACCAGTCTATCCTGGTACCAGACCATTGTATCCATGGTATCTGACCAGTCTATCCTGGTACCAGACCATTGTATCCATGGTATCTGACCAGTCTATCCTGGTACCAGACCATTGTATCCATGGTATCTCACCAGTCTATCCTGGTACCAGACCATTGTATCCATGGTATCTCACCAGTCTATCCTGGTACCTGACCATTGTATCCATGGTATCTGACCAGTCTATCCTGGTACCAAACCATTGTATCCATGGTATCTGACCAGTCTATCCTGGTACCAGACCATTGTATCCATGGTATCTGACCAGTCTATCCTGGTACCAGACCACTGTATCCATGGTATCTCACCAGTCTATCCTGGTACCAGACCATTGTATCCATGGTATCTGACCAGTCTATCCTGGTACCAGACCATTGTATCCATGGTATCTCACCAGTCTATCCTGGTACCAGACCATTGTATCCATGGTATCTGACCAGTCTATCCTGGTACCAGACCATTGTATCCATGGTATCTCACCAGTCTATCCTGGTACCAGACCATTGTATCCATGGTATCTCACCAGTCTATCCTGGTACCAGACCATTATATCCATGGTATCTCACCAGTCTATCCTGGTACTTGACCATTATATCCATGGTATCTCACCAGTCTATCCTGGTACCAGACCATTGTATCCATGGTATCTCACCAGTCTATCCTGGTACCAGACCATTGTATCCATGGTATCTCACCAGTCTATCCTGGTACCTGACCATTATATCCATGGTATCTCACCAGTCTATCCTGGTACCAGACCATTGTATCCATGGTATCTCACCAGTCTATCCTGGTACCAGACCATTGTATCCATGGTATCTCACCAGTCTATCCTGGTACCAGACCATTGTATCCATGGTATCTCACCAGTCTATCCTGGTACCTGACCATTGTATCCATGGTATCTCACCAGTCTATCCTGGTACCTGACCATTGTATCCATGGTATCTCACCAGTCTATCCTGGTACCAGACCATTGTATCCATGGTATCTCACCAGTCTATCCTGGTACCAGACCATTGTATCCATGGTATCTCACCAGTCTATCCTGGTACCTGACCATTGTATCCATGGTATCTCACCAGTCTATCCTGGTACCAGACCATTGTATCCATGGTATCTGACCAGTCTATCCTGGTACCAGACCATTGTATCCATGGTATCTCACCAGTCTATCCTGGTACCAGACCATTGTATCCATGGTATCTGACCAGTCTATCCTGGTACCAGACCATTGTATCCATGGTATCTCACCAGTCTATCCTGGTACCAGACCATTGTATCCATGGTATCTCACCAGTCTATCCTGGTACCAGACCATTGTATCCATGGTATCTCACCAGTCTATCCTGGTACCAGACCATTGTATCCATGGTATCTGACCAGTCTATCCTGGTACCAGACCATTGTATCCATGGTATCTCACCAGTCTATCCTGGTACCTGACCATTGTATCCATGGTATCTCACCAGTCTATCCTGGTACCTGACCATTGTATCCATGGTATCTGACCAGTCTATCCTGGTACCTGACCATTGTATCCATGGTATCTCACCAGTCTATCCTGGTACCAGACCATTGTATCCATGGTATCTCACCAGTCTATCCTGGTACCTGACCATTGTATCCATGGTATCTCACTGTGGGAAAATCTGACTCCAGTATTTGAAATAAATAATAATAACTTCAATAGCTGCGAAGGACCGCCACTTTTTGAGTAAAAATGGAAAACAAAAGTGAGCAAATGGATTAATATTGATACCAAGATACCAAGTCTTATGGATCTTAATAGGATTGTAATTTATCATAAATCAAGAGTCAAATTAACTTTCACAAAATTGGGGGGTTAAGCGCTAGGATACAATTGAATCTTAGCACCTGTAATCTGACGTTGGTTCAACCGTCGGTAAGAATTACTAATATAAATTCAAGTTATATTTCATACACATAAAATCAAATATGAAATGAGGTTAGAAAATAATATATCATTCATTCACAAATGGCGAGTAAATGGCAATTTGAAAGGAAATCATTCATGTAGCTTAATGTTAATATATCTAATACTACACTACAAAAAATAATGTCAGCTTAGGTGTTCGACTGAATTAGTGTGGCAAGTGTGGGGCGATAACGATAGCACACTTGCTACAACACCATGTCCAGGTGGGGAGCCGGTCGGCCGAGCGGACAGCACGCTGGACTTGTGATCCTGTGGTCCTGGGTTCGATCCCAGGCGCCGGCGAGAAACAATGGGCAGAGTTTCTTTCACCCTATGCCCCTGTTACCTAGCAGTAAAATAGGAACCTGGGTATTAGTCAGCTGTCACGGGCTGCTTCCTGGGGGTGGAGGCCTGGTCGAGGACCGGGCCGCGGGGACACTAAAAAGCCCCGAAATCATCTCAAGATAACCTCAAGATAACACCCAGGGAATGAATATTATTATTCTTGTTTACGCTTCTACCAGTCAAGCTGAAAGGCAAATTAAATGTAAAGGTTGTCTAGACTGCATTTAATATCACTATTTCTGATTGAAAAGGTGAGAGTCTAGTCTTAATGGAACTAACTTTGATGACGTTGTTGTCGCGTGGGCAACCCGTTCTCGCAAATTCGTAAAGTCAATATTGACTTATTAACTACGTGCATAGGTGA